GGTTCCATGTTGTTAATCAATAAGCCTCGGGGTCTTCCTAGCATAATTTGCAAACCTTAATGGAAAGAATGCACGACTCCTAGCAAATAACGCTGGCAACGCGAATCATCGACCAAAATTTGTTTGCACGAATGCACCTACGCATATTTTGCATTTCAAAAGGTAACGTGGATTCCAGAATATTCAGTGTATTGTTTCGGGCGTAAAACTATCTGAAAATTTCGCCCATTGTAATTAATTCAACGTTTTCTACAATTCACGATTTTGTATTACGTATTCACTCACTTAAAAAATAACACAGTATTCACGGATGGATTACAGACTTGAGGCATTTGCCCGAGTTCCCCTGGTCGGTTTTGTTCTCGTCGGTCAGCGGCTGCCGTTCAAATGAAAGGCACAAGTGGAGAGAGGGTGAAGCACTTTATGTTCTCAGCGTGGGGCAGTATGCTTGCCAGCGCGGGAATTTGCAGAAATAAATGTCTAATAATGCTTTAAACTGGGTTCTAGACGGAGCGTGGACAACCGTCGGAGGAAGGTCATTCCACGCAGCTAATACCCGAAATGGGAAAAAATTTTGTCTAACGAATGCTTGCGCCCTGAGCTTGAGAATTTTCCTACTATATCCCCGCCGTATGTTTGCTGTGAAAAATCTGTTTGTCAAGCTTTGTTCAGACAGGGCATAAGTAAGAATTAGGTCCCCTCGGAGGCAACGGTACTCCAGGGGAAAGAGATCATCGCGAGACGCGTTTCGTAGTCCACGGATTTGAGTCCGGCAACCATTCTCTAAGCGGCTGGTTAGCACGCTGAATAAGGGTGACGTCTTTCGTGCGTCCCGAGTAGACAACCTGGTTGGCGTATTCCAGGAGCGGTCTGACGTAGACCCCATAGAGTGTTTGGAAGTCCATGCGAGTGGAGGTGTGTCGGATCATCCCTAAAAATGGCAAATGCCTTTTGGGCCGATTTCCTATGGTGCGGTGAGAGGGACAAGTTTGAGGAGACTCAGATGCCCAAATCCTTTCTGGCACCTATCCTCATGATGTTTTCTGGTCCCTTCTCACAATGCATAACAAAGGCATTCACTGAGTCTCCTCCAAATGAGATGTAGACGCACATATCGTCATTCAGAAGAAGGCGTCAGTCCAACGACCACTGGTTTACAGCGTCTACATCTATTTTGAGGGCACTAGCATTGGAAGTCCAGGATTTCAAGTCGTCCGCAAGAAGTAGGCATGGACTTGCAAGAACGTCTGGGAGTTTGTTGACGTAGATCAGAAACAGGAGTGGTCCCAGGACGGAGCCTTGAGGAACTCCAATGGAGACTGGAGCTAGAGAAGAGTAGGCCGAGCCTATTCTTGCTCGGAATGATCTGCCTGATAGAAACGCCCTGATCCAGTGATGGATTTTCCTTTGAATCCCGTAGGACTCGAGTTTGTGGAGCAGCGGGACGTGTAGGACCCTATCAAATGCTTTTGGGAAGTCGAAAAATATGGCATCCAATATGAATCCTCCGTCCTTAGCCTGGGTTCTTGGATTGGGTTAAGCTGTCCATAAACACGAGCGTGTTTGTCACGCATGAGCGGTTTGGGAGAAATCCGTGTTGAGCTGGGGATATCAGGTTGCTGGTGATCTGGGAAAGCTCGCTTCAGAATGCGTTCCGTCGCCTTGCACGGCACGCTAGTGAGGATCATAGGTCCATAGCTGCCAGGCGACAGTCGATCACTAGTTCTGTAGATTGGCGTGACAATCGCTTCCTTCTAAGCACAGGGAAGTCAGCCTTCGTCAAGCGACTGATGAAACACCAAGTGTGAATGATTTGCCGGTGTGGAAGAAGTGTCCTTCAGGATCCTTGGATGGACCTCGTCGGGCCCTAACTCGTAGAATCGGTTGATCTTGTGCAAGAGTTGACAAATGTCCTCCACCGTGAAGACCAAGTCAGTTGGACGCTGTTCGTAGTTCCGTCTTGACAAGAGTGGATGTGACGAAGACGCTGGGGCCGAGTATAGACACGCATAGTGTTCACTGTAAACCTCGGATGCCATTGTTGGGTCATTTGTCGGTTCTCCGTTTCTGCCCCTTAAGGAGAACGCGGATGGCTTGTTTCTGCGGCGATGTCTCATGTATTTGGGAAAACGTACCCGCGCAGCGGTATTTGGACCCACAATGCATCGCAAAAGGGTGCAGGGGTTGTGCCAGAGAGGACAATCGGGATTGGTAGGGCCGTATGTAAGTACAGAGCAACTCCACCAGCCCTCCCTCGTTTTGAGTCAGCTCGGAAAATAGAGTAACTCTATCGAGATCTCCGCGTCAGAGACATCTGGTGTAAGCCAGGTCTCTGTGAGTGCGATTATGGATGGTTGTTCAAGGAAAACTGACTGTTTAACATAGCCGAGTTTGTTGAGAAGGGTGAGGCAGTTTGTGGACAAGTATTTCAACACTGTCGCTGGCGCCTCCGAGGGTGAGGAGCAGAAAGTCGAGTGACCAGGGTGGTTAGCAGACTTAATAGTTGTGCACCGGGTTTGTGCCCAAGGCTCCAAAGTGGCCTCTGGGGCAATGTCGTCCGCCTCGTGTTCTGACTGTTTAACATAGCCGAGTTTGTTGAGAAGGGTGAGGCAGTTTGTGGACAAGTATTTCAACACTGTCGCTGGCGCCTCCGAGGGTGAGGAGCAGAAAGTCGAGTGACCAGGGTGGTTAGCAGACTTAATAGTTGTGCACCGGGTTTGTGCCCAAGGCTCCAAAGTGGCCTCTGGGGCAATGTCGTCCGCCTCGTGTTTTCGTGGTTTCTGGGGATGCTTTTCGCTTGCGAGGTTTTTCGTTCCGTGAGAGCTCGGTTTGCTGGGGCCTTTTAGCTTTGGGGGAAGGAGTTTTTTCCCCGTGGTCGAAAATTTCGACCGTTGCTACTTTCATCTCTTTCGGCACCGCCTTTTTGGCGACCAGATTTGCTATTGCTCAAAGAGGTACGTCAAGCATTTGCCCTCATGGATCCTTGGGCGTTTGGGCGCGGTTCGACCAGATAGGTGTCTCTGTGAGGCCCTGAGCGCTGGGTGGCGGCACCAAGAAGTAATGATCTTAATGTCGCTCCCAAGAGGCTCGTTTTCGCAGAAGATTGCACCTTGAAGCCAGCCAGCAGTTTTCTAATCTGGCGAATTTTATGTGGCTTGGTTGGTTCTGGTCGCTCTTCTTTTGTGTTTTTGTGGACACCCGATCCCCCGGCGATCAGCGTGGCCAAATGAATGTACGACGGATTTTCTGGTTTGTTGTGGTCATGTTTATGTCTTTGGATGCCGGGTTCCTGGGCGACGTTTGTGTCCACAAGCAGAGAGACCGCTTTTGGCAGAGTAGAGCTGGATATTGGATTCGCTGCTTGTCCCGCACGTCTGACTCAGTCCAGTTCAGAGTCTGTGGCTTTGTTGGGGAGTGCATGGCTGGACCTGTGTCGTCTGTTACGGAGATAAGCGTTGATAGCTCCACGCACTTTGGGCGCTGCTTATATGTGAGTTTTGCCTCCTCCAGGCATCACTGCCTTTGGTGGGCGAGAGACCAGTGGTGGTGGAATAAAAACTGCTGTCCGGAGACGCAGCCTGCTTTCAGGAGCACAGGGGGCTATGACCACAATCGCCCTGGTCATGAGTTTGGGGTCGGCCGAATTGGTGCTCAGCGAAAGCCTGTTTCGTGCCTCCACCCTGACCTGCTGTGACCAAACTTTCGTGCGTCCAGAGGGCGACCCTCATTATCGGGTTGGCCTTTTGAATACTGCCAATCCACTTCAAGATCTTCTGTACGGCAGATTTGGATGAAAGAGTGACTAGAAGCCCAAGACTTCTGGCGTAACCATTCCGGGTGGAGTGATTTATCAGGCTTGGTGAGGACAGTGATAAGGATCGATTATGCCAGCTTCGCTTGCGTGATTTTTTGGGGGAATGACCCCCAGATTATCAGTCTGTGTTCCCTTAAGCGCCTATCCACAAGAGACGCCGTGGCGGTCTTTATAACCGCGTCAGAGAGTTGTATGACTTTCTTCGCAGCCAGGGGCCCCAGTATGAATAGCGCGAGGTACTCGTTTAGCGAAGAAAGTTCATTATGAACTTTCGTCCAAGTCGCTGCATTCTATATGTCGTAATCCTCCAGTGCCTGAGGAAGAAGCTTCAATTTCGCTTCGAGTATCACGATCAAAGCGGGACACCCACATCAGTCTTTCTGATTCTGCGGTGGGGACGGGGTACACTTTTTTCGGGCTCTCCTCTTAGCTGCGGTATGCAATGCAGCCTTAACGCAGAGGCAGCTGGCGCAGACTAACGGGTCAGGAGAGTTAGCTGGTCGGCTTATCTGGTCGTCCTGTAAACCCGTGAATTTGAAATGCCACCAGGCCTTGCATACCGCGTTTGACGTTCGACGGGCAGCCATTTCGCCCACATCTGTTGCGGTTTATCGATGACTGCAGAGGACAATCGGTATAAATTGATGTCATGTTTAGAACTAGATTCAAAACAGACGCAAAATATGAAGGGTTATCTCTCAAATATTTTGTTAGGGTAATAATGTTCAATAATTACTCATGTGCACTCTGTGAATAGATTGAACAACGAAAAATTTTTTTGAGAAATTAGCACGAGGGAAAAATGAAACCAATTTCGAACGTACCGAGTGACAGCATAAACATCATACATAGACATTCTACACTATGAAGTGTCAAGCCCGAGAACGCCGTAGCTTTCAAGAAACCAATCCCGTGGTGCGAACACTGAGCAGCATCGGAATAGCAAACGCGCCGATTTTTAAAATGCGCGCTTATATTTTGTTTCGTTTGTCCCTTTTCTTCGTAACCGTCGGCAGTTTTTTGATAAAAATTTGACGTGTTTCGTTAAAAATTACTCCGGCGCATGCGCGTTTTTACAAGCATGATGGTGATCATAGACATGGGTCATATGCATCTCTGTATCTGTGCTTCGTTAGAATAGAGAACCTCGTTCAAACGTTGGAAAGGCGCCGGCGCTCAATACGGAATGTCCCGTTCGAGGTCTTCGTCGTCTTGCTTTGGGGCCAAGAAGCAGAGGCTTGACGACGAAGCCTCCTCGAATAAGATGATTGTCCCACGGAACGGGCTTGAGGCACCTGGCGTCATCCGTCGAGAAATGTGTTACTACTGTTTAGATGTGTTACACCGTCACCTTTATAAAGCTGATCCCCCGAAACCCCCGATCACATTCCCCAACGCTCCTTAGTAAGTGTTTCTGATACGGGTCTTGATGGTCTTCAGTCCGCTTTTTGTCACGTGGACCCATGGAAAAGACGAAAACTTACGAGGGTGCGTTGGAACGTTCAATGCCTTGAATATTCATCACGGCTTGCGGGAGTACGCCATTACAAGGTAAGTTGTCTGTCAGCCATCTCATTGACGGAAAGTGCAATGAGGGACAGTCGGTTTGCTCCAATCACGGAGGACGAGTTTCCGCATTTAACCTGTTCGGTTTCACTACTGCTGCATTTCGAAGAGGGAAAGCATTACCAAGATTGGCAGGTAAGGACCTTTTTTATTGATCGTTGGGGCTTTCTGTCACTTACAATTAATCTTAAAATAGCCATTTGGAGAGGGTGAACGCTTGGTATCTGAATCAGTCTAGCGAAGCAACATTGATAACAGACGGTGTCCCAATAGGTCATCTGTGATGCAACTGAATCAATCAGATTTGGTCGTGCCGGTGTTTGTGATTGTTTCATGAAGGGTTATCTCTGTCAAGAGTGACGTGGGATATAGCTTTTTCGTGGACCAAGAACTCTCCGTAGTATATGCGCTATGAAAGCAGTCGGGGATAGTGATTCTTCGAAGGTACGTGTTCACAACAGTTTCTGCGAATGGGTAACAGAAAGATCATGAGCCGAAGCCTAGTAAGCAATGTTGTCCATCATTAATACTTACGTATAAATAGATCAACCTGGCAGACACCGCATACTTCAACACGGTTGGATTTTTTGTAAAATAGTCCGGGTTTTCGGAAGGAAGCAAACTGTTGGGTATTAACAAAGGTGTCACAACGACAAAGAAGCTGCCAAACTACTTGTGTGGTGCCTGCTTGAAACTCGGTCGTTTGCCCAACAAATTTTAGTGTCTACTAGCCGTTCTGCTTCTGACCAAATAAAGGTTCAAAACCCGGCTTGTTGGACAGTCGTCCGGCTTACGTCAGTGTTACGCTTGTTTTTGGGACTTTTCTTGGGTAGTCTTCACGAAGAGGAGCCATTTTCAAGACCCACCCGGTAAACAAAACCCATCTCTAATGACGAACCGGAAACTGACTAATTGAAAATCAGGACTCAAGAATGCTAACTGAACCGTCAGTATTCATTACCATTGATAGCAGCCAGTAAAAAGCACTGGCGCTTCACGCATCTCCATGAACAATGGTTCAGTAGTAGCGGAAATAGAGTATTAATCGTTCAGCTGTAGCGTTCTTTCGATACCTAGCTGCCATGCCACCCGAAGGAAGCACGAGGGCTGGGATACTGTCAGGTTGCCCAAGCCTAGACAGGGGAAGTCGAGAGGCAGAGGTCGGGTTCGAACCACGGACCTTTCGGTCAGTAAATTCACGCTCTAACCACTTGAGTCATCTCTCCACTAGTAACGGAAGCTGACGCTTAACTCTCGTACACTCATGTAGAAAGATGGTTCCAGAAAAACCCTATTTCCCGAGAAAGTCTTGTAAAACCATGAGAGAAAAGACAACTGAACACCCTTTGGGCGCATGTCACAATCACCTGGATTACGAACCTCGCCCAAAACATTCAGCACAACACGCGTTAACTAGGCACTCTGTCTAAAGGGTGGCAACAGGCTGATAGCTTGGATCGTTTGCGTTTTATTTTCTATGGGGTTTCCTACCATGCACAATGAAAGTCACGTAAACCCGTGGCGGCCAAATTAACGGTGGCCGTTTCCATTTCGTGTCGCTATGTTCCTCTGCGAACAGTCATGTCAATTTAATTCAAAAAGCCTACTAAAACATCTAACTTGCCCAGGCTTCCAACACGGCCGGACAGTGGGTAGAGACCGTCAGCATAAAATAGAGACAGTTTAACATGGCTGGTCAGTTAAGAGTATTACTGAGACTCCTGATAATATAAGGCGTGCCCATATTATAGTGAATTCGCTATAATCTTCAGTAGTCTGAACAAAGTGGATGCCAGCCGTTTACGGTACTGGCATCGTAGGTTTTATAGGGATGACTGCAATCGGTAGGTGTGCTTTACTCGGATGAATGCAGTCATAAGGAATGACTCGCCTATAATACGTATTGCTTGTAGTCAGATGTAATATCCCAAATGTCTAAATTTAAGGGCACTGGGACAGGAAGTAGCTAGGTGGTGGCCTGTAATTTCGGGTTAGGTGCTTGATTACAGGTTCTATGTGTTCGGACTCCCTCTGTTACACGATATAGGGAACCTATTAGAAATGAAGCCTCCAGTTGTTGGTAGGGTACTTCAATACCCTAGAGGTTCATGTGATGCAACGTGTTATCAGTTCTACGTCACATTGAACTTGACGGGCGCCAATTTGAAAGCTGACTGGGTAGTGTGTGCTTTGCTCATTGTGAACCTGACTTCTTGTCTAAACATTCGAATAGGCCAACTTTCAGGATTTGAAAACAGACTACGATATGTTCTGGGTTATTAGTGAAGTTGGACGCACTTTGCAGCTGAGTGTGATCCATGGCGAACAAAGCGATCAGTCCCAATGCTGGGACCTGTAAAGATAGTATTCACATTAGGGTGGGGAAGGGTAGAAGAGAACTGCGTGAGTGTAAGAAGGGAGGCGTCAGCAGTTGCATCTTTTCATTTGCTCCTCCCTAATCTATGTAGCAAGTAAGGTGATCTGGCTGACGACACCGTGTGATGGCCGATATGGTATAATATTTTTGGTTGCAATATCCATGGTTGCACGCACGGATACAGGAGCATCCATACATAGACAAAGGCGACTAAAGTCTGACCCAAAATCCTAACTGAAAGACACCATTTGGGTCCCGGCATACTACCACAGTAGTGCAGTACAGTACAGTACCGTAGTGCTACAATACTGCCTATCCCAACCATCAATTTAAAGGATCAAGAGACTGCTCGTCAGTATTATAAACTCAGTGTGTCGAGGAGAAGCCTCAATATAGCTCAGTGAATCACAAATGTGCACGGACTGCCATACAGCAGAAAGTTTCAATCCCTTTGCAGCTCTTCCGTTGCAGTACCGATTTACGGAACATTGGAAATTGTTTGACTACATGGTGCCCACAAATGAGCCAGCCATGAATCCAGATAAACCGCACTACCGTGACTTGCCGGTGAGGATTGTCTCCTTTTGGAGTACGTGGGTGGACTCTAACAATGCACTTGTTCGCTGCCGCTTTCCAAGTCCAAACAAAATGCGCATGCACTTGGTTATTAAAAAGCTTTTTGACCCTGAAACCAAACAAACTTGTCAGAAGCGATATCCGGCTGATCAGGTGATGGAATTCCTACCTGCGTTAAAAAGTTGTTCAACTGTGGCGCCCTTTCAGTGCCCAGCTGCCATGTTATCTGAAGGAAGCACGGGGGCTGGAATACTGCCAAGTTACCCATGCATAGACAGAAGGAGTCGAGATGCACAGGTTGGTTTCGAACCACGAATCTTCCGGTCATTAACTTTGTACTTTAAACACAGCCATCTCGTCCGCAAAGTGGAGCGCGTTTGAAGCTTGCCTACAAAATTGGTATCCGACACGAGTGCATCGTCATCATCGACAGCATGATATCAGTGTTGAACACCGGTGCTTCACTGCCGTATAAGCGTGATTTATTTGAAATCCTCATTGTAAAGAAAAGAGTAAAGGTGGACGGGAGGGGACTTAGTGCTAGCTTACCACAATCATTCCGAGGCACCTATACCTCCACACACAATCAGGCGATCTGGATCGAAACTGACAACAAGGACGCCACTGACATCGATTGGCAGCCATATCTTGTAGTGTCTCCAACCAGGCACCATGAGGATCACGCGGTTCCCATTCTTGAAGGCGAGTAGCACCCAAGCGTTTCGTGATCTTCATACTCTTCTGCCAAGTCAAGGGTTGGCCACCTCTCTGTGTGCGCCACTGAGTTGGGCATGGAAAACATCACCATCTTGTTACACATAGAATATCGGTTCTGGTTGAGCGAGGGAACAAGAATGAATAGTGCTCTACTTGTCTAAGAATAGACATACATAAGCTGAAAATGAAGGCGAAAGCACGGTTAATACAAAACGATTATGTGGCCGTTGGATTGTGTAGAGAGGGATAAATTGGGTACGGGTATTGGATGAGTGATTGTAAAAATCTAATGAGTAATAATGAGTGTGGTTAGGCTTCTCGATTCCTCAAAATATAGGGACGTGTACGCTTCTGGAGCCTGGCTAATGTTATTGAGCGGAGGCATGTGCAAGTCAGATATAGGGGGTGTATGAACACCACTGTCTTCACGGGATGAGTTACGCGTGAAGTCGTTGACATGTATGCGATCACCACAAGG